CAGCAGGTTTTCAGCACCCCCCCCCACTTCAATCCCCCCCTGCCTCAGGCCGGGCCTGGGGATAGTCAGCCTGAGGCCCACCCCCCCGGTCCTGGGCTGGCCCTGGGCAATGCTGGGTAGTCTTCTCGTTTGTACAGAATTGTGGCTTTTTCATTCTTTTTCTTATTAGCATCACAGTCATAGCTATTGACAACTCAACTAACTGAGGAAAGGATTTGTCAGAAAGTGTCCTGTAGGCAGGGCTGGCCTGAGCCATTCGTGTGTCCTGGGCCCCGTGAGCTTGGCACCACCCCCAGGAGTGCAGCGCATGTGTGGCACGGCCCCGCCCCTGGGCGCCCGACGCAAGCGCAACCCTGCCCTGGGTGCCCAGCGCATGCGCGGCTCCCCCCCTCCAGGCGCTCGGCCCATGCGCGGCAGCCCTGCGCTGTGCCCCCTACAATGGGGCGCCCCGGGCAGTAGCCCGGTCACCCCATAGCTTGGGCCGACTCTGCCTGTAGGTCTGATTTCTTTGTCATTTGCATGTCAACATTTCTGAGAGTTATTTGCCTTGCAGTAGCACCTAGTGGCTGCAGCTGGGTTCTGGGCCCCATTGTGTTAGGCACAGTATGAATACAGACAGAGAAGTGTTCTGCACAGTCTGGGGGACCCCCATACTGGGACAGTGTCAGACACAAAAACTTACAAGTATACTGCAAAGCAAACAGGCAGATACAGGACTACATTTTTCTAACAGCATAAAGTAGCAAGAAGATAGTTATGGGACTAAATTAAATTGGATTTAACTCAGACAACTGCTTATGTAGCTGGGGAGTGAGATCCAGAACTTTTCAGTACTACGTCACTGGTTCAAACCGCACCATATCTGGTAGTGCCTGCAAGTTATCATTTTGTCAGGTCTCTGGTTTCTCTGTGGGAAGACTTGGTGGGTCTCAGTTCAGTTTCACAAGACACCAACAGACATCCATGGCTAAGACCTAGGCCACAGAAAGAGATGGAACATTACTGACCCTAGAGGTTTAATGTGGCCCTTATAGGTTAAGCTTGGGCACGCTGCTGGGCCACATGAGGGAGGCTTACATTGGCCCAGCAGTGTGGCTTCCGCATACAAGACTGTCAAGCTGAGACTTTACACTGAAAGGAAAAAAAACAAGGGGAGGAGGAGAAGAGGCAGAACATATGCCACATTGAGATGTCAGATCCCTCACAATTAACCGGCCTACTTTCTTTAATAATTAACTTGCTCCAGGGCTGGGGCCCTGAGATAAACTGTGTGTACAAGAGTCAAACAGATAGTTATAAAGGCTTTGGTGAAAGCCAAAGGAAGGAGAAATTGACAAAGATAAAAAGACAAATAATCAGCATCACTCAGAAACACAGCCACTGAGCTGAATCTGAGCCTGATGCCTGGAGCCTCACTAGATCATCTAATGTGATATCCTGCTTTGACCTAGAAGGGGTGTAACTTTCACCTTTCCGTCTTCACCTTCTGTTCTATGGGTGCTGCCCTGCACATGAGGAGGGCAGATCTAAAATTTATTGTGAGCAGCCGCACAAGCACAGTTCGGAGGGAAGTGAAGATTGACCTATGGAGACACTGCGATCAACTGGTTGGTGGCCATGTCTCTAGTAGAAGGATGAATTCCTTCCCTTGGGCAGGCCTGAGTCACTATTGTGTTACCACCTAAGTAACCACACTGAAATAGATGGAGGCCTGTAGCCATAAACACTGGAGTAATGCAGTGGTAAGTCAGAACCTTGGCTGGTGAGGGCACCTTACAGCCCATACACCCTTAGTCTCTCCAGTACAGGCAGTCCCCGGGTTACGTACAAGATAGGGACTGTAGGTTTGTTCTTAAGTTGAATTTGTATGTAAGTCGGAACTGGTACATATTGTAGGGGAAACTCTAACCAAACATTTCTCCAGAGCTCAGTTTTATTCTCCCACACCTCACTTCCCTCAGTCCTTTATTCTCAAGCTGAGGTGTCTGCTGAGAAAAGCCGCTCCGCGTCTCCCTGGTCTGCTGTGGGGAAGCAGCTAGTGCGGGGTTGCCTCACCCCGTTTGTAAGTAGGGATCCAATGTAAGTCGGATCCATGTAACCCGGGGACTGCCTGTATTCTGAGGAAAAAAACGCCTGTGGAACATGCTAATTTAGATGACCCTAAGCTCCTGTACTGAAGTGTACACATTTAATTTAGAAGCACAGCAGAAGCCAAAGTCCCTTGAAGAAAAATAGGGTACAAACATTGGGATCATTTCACTGCGGGCAAGGAAAAAGCGTTTGGGATAATAAACAAACAACAGTTAAATTCCAGTGAGGAGGACCTGAAGTTGAGTGGTGACGATAATTTGCAAATTGACTTGTGTAAAGGCTGTTGCTAGTTGTGAAAAATCAAATGAAAAGTAAATGTCTAATTGAGGAAGCCAGTCAAAGTTCATCTGGGCATGCAGGGAGTAAAGCAAAGTGGACTCCCTCAGTTGAGTGACTGACTCAGTTGCTCAATTAGTCTAAGACATAAGTAAATCAGGGAGAAGTTGATACTGTCAGCAAAATCAAGGAATATGTTCAGAACTGCCAGCCTCTTATCTGGGCAGGGTTCAAAGTCACGGCTTGATTTACTTTTCTGGGTAAGTTTTACCTCTCCCTATAAAGGCTCTTCCACAAGGTCACCTAATGCACTGCCCCCTTATTTCTATCCCAGCTCTCTGACAAGATCATTGACTGCTTTGCCCTTTTTCCCACTATAGGATGCAGATACCTGGGATCCCTTCCCTTCTCTTTTCTACCTTGGGAAAAAGAGGCTAGAAACAGGCCTCTGACTGCATGCCTAGTGCGCCGTTCTCTAACTGCGTGTGCTACCTTTCAGGAGGCCCAGTGTGGCTATGTGATAATCCTGATGGCGCTGTTCTGGTGTATGGAAGTCCTGCCACTGGCTGTTACTGCCTTATTTCCTGTCCTGCTGTTCCCGCTGATGAACATAATGGATTCAACCCAAGTAAGAGATCCGGCTCTTTCATGTGTGTCCATCGGTCTCTGCTCACTGTGTCTGGTCTCTCCCATCTGGTCAGCCAGCAGGCCAGGCGTGGTTCCAACATCCTTGCACTTGAGTCACCCAGAGGGAAGACTCCAAAGAATGAATGAGGGGCACAGCTCCTGGAGCGAAAGCAAAGGGAAATGCTTAGCACTGGGAAGCATGTAGTCTGCAGAACAGTGTCTCTGACCCTCCTTCAGCAACTGTTCTCGCTCTGCTTTATCTGGCCCCTCCTCTCTCTGACGGTTTTCTCTCCCGTTTTCTCGAACAGGTGTGTATGGAGTATCTGAAGGACACCAACATGCTCTTCATTGGAGGACTGATGGTGGCTATTGCTGTGGAGCACTGGAACCTACACAAGCGCATCGCCCTGCGGGTCCTGTTAGTCATTGGGGTCCGACCAGCACTGTGAGTGAGAACTTCATATAAGTGTGTGTGGGGGGAGGAAGTGACAATGAGAAGATCAGTTTCCATCCAGGGAGGGAGTTTGGAAATCTTCTTATTCCTGATTCAAGAAAGCAGCAAAGTACATGTGACAATGATCTTTAAGAGCTTGATTTGGTCCCTTTCTTTGCATTTGATTCTCATCTCATTTCATCCAGAACGCTGTTGGAGGCTTGGGAGTTCCCTGTGTAATGAACTCTGTGCTTTCCGACATGTACTGCAACCAGTTCTCCCGCTTTCCCCCTTTGTGGGGGAAGCCGATAGCACATGGATCGGACAGAGACATCTCTTAGAGGAGTGTCTATTAATAGAGATGCTCTATGTTCTAGTCAGGAGGAGAGGATGGAAGTATGTGTCAGATCAGATGGGACACAATCAAATGAAAAAGACTAACACATCAGGAAATGGCAGACAAATATATATTTTTAAAGTGCTTCTACACAAATGCTAGAAGTCTAAATAATAAAATGGATAAAGTAGAGTTCCTAGTTTTAAAAGAGGATATTGATATAATCAGTGCTTAAAAAAAAAAAAAAAAGGTGCCAGTACTCAAGGGAAAAGTTGTTGAACAAAACAAACAAACAAACAAACAAACAAACAAAAAAATTGTTGGGGGCTGAAATGTGGCGCTGGGAGCTGGAAAAAAAATCACTGCATGCCCTGAACAGGCTTCTGTCAGGAGCCGAACCGCCCCAGGAAAACAAGTGCCAGTACGCACGGGGGAAATGCTTTTCCTTTTCTGTGTACTGGGAAAATAGGTGACGGTACGCCATTCTGGGCCATACTGTCACAAAAAAAGCACTGGATATAATAGGCATCACGGAAACATGGTGGAATGAAGACAATCAATGGGACACAGTCATACCAGGGTACAAAATATATTGGAAGCATAGAACAGGTCATGCTGGTGGAGGAGTGTCACTATACATGAAAGAAAATGTAGAATCAAATGAAGTAAAAATCTTAAATGAGCCTAAATGTTCCACAGAATCTCTATGGATAGTAATTCCACGCTCAAATAATAATACAGCAGTAGGGATATATTATTGACCACCTGACCAGGATAGTGATCGTGACTATGAAATGTTAAAGGAGATTAGAGAGGCTATCGAAATAAAAAACTCAATAATAGTGGGGGGTTTCAACTGTCCCCATACTGACTGGGTACAAGTCATCTCAGGATGGGATGCAGAGATAAAATTTCTTGATACCTTAAATGATTGCTTCTTGGAGCAGCTGGTTCTAGAACTCACAAGGGGAGAGGCAATTCTTGATTTAGTCCTAAGTGGTATGCAGGATTTGGTTCAAGAGGTAAATATAACTGTACCGCTTGGAAATAGTGACCATAATGTAATAAAATTTAACATTTATGTGGTGGGAAAAACACCTCAGCGGCCCAACACTCTAGCATTTAATTTCAGAAATCGGAACCACACAAAAATAAGGAGGTTAGTTAAACAGAAATTAAAAGGTACAATGCCAAAAGTAAATTCCCTGCAAGCTGCATGGAGATTTTTGAAAGACACCATTACAGAGGCCCAACTTAAATGTGTACCCTAAATTCAAAAACACAGTAACAGAAAGAAAAAAGTGCCACCATGGGTTGGTTAACAACCAAGTAAAAGAAGCAGCAAGGGATAGAAGGGCATCGTTGAAAAAGGAGAAATGTTTGGCTAGAGTTTCCCCTACAATATGTACCAGTTCCAACTTACATACAAATTCAACCTAAGAACAAACCTACCGTCCCTATCTTGTACGTAACCCGGGGACTGCCTGTATTGGGTTTAATTCACCCCTCCTGGTGAAATGCATCTCTCTGCTCTGCTGTGTGCCATTTACCCAAGGAAAGACCAGTGATGGCACTGCAGTCCATGAGAAGTTGGTGGCCAAATTAATCTCTCCATTATAACCCTGCCAGTGTGGATTGGATGAGTGTACCTTCGGGTATGTCTAGAACGAGGTGTACAGATAGATCGGAATGGCTACATAGTTCGAACTATCTAGCCCGTTCCGCGTGTAGCCGCGCGACACGGGGTTCGAACAAGCCGGCTTTTAAAAATGGCGGAGCCGGCTTTATGCTAATGAAGCCCGGGAAATTCAAATCCCGGGCTTCATTAGCAAGTGCGGTATGCATACATTACCCTGCTAGTTCGAACTAGCGGGGTAGTGTAGACATACCCTGACTTACATCGGTTATATGGATCTGACTTACTTATAAACGGGGTGAGGCAACTCCGCACTAGCTGCTTCCCCCCAGCAAACCAGGGAGATGCGAAGCTAGCGCTCCCCCCAGCAGACCAGGGAGATGCGGAGCGGCTTCTCTCAGCAGACACCTCAGCTTGAGAATAAAGGACTGAGGGAAGTGAGGTGTGGGAGAATAAAACTGAGCTCTGGAGAAATGTTTGGCTAGAGTTTCCCCTACAATATGTACCAGTTCCGACTTACATACAAATTCAACTTAAGAACAAACCTACAGTCCCTATCTAGTACGTAACCCGGGGACTGCCTGTACATCAAAAGCAGATATTTCTCTCAGTATGGGCACAAGAAATTAGAGGATTTTTTTGTTTTACATTCAGGTGGTCTTGCACTTGCATAATGGTTGTCTGAGGTTGCAAATAGTTAATTTGAGTTTGTATTCAAATTCCAATTATGGTTTTTAATGGGGATGTTAGATATTGTTTAATTTAATGATCATATAACTGCACCAAATCTTAGCGGTTACACAATTAGTCGATGATCCCCGGAGGCAGGGCTATATCAGAGGCAGCAGCACAGGGTGGCAGGTATGAGCTTGTGCATGATTGCAGAACTATTAACTGTGGTTTGTAACCTATCCTTTAAATCGGCTTCCGTACCTAATGACTGGAAGATAGCTAACATGATGCCAATATTTAAAAAGGATTCTAGAGGTGATCCTGGCGATTACAGATTGCTAAGTCTAACATCAGTACCGGGCAAATTAGTTGAAATTATAATAAAGAATGAAATTGTCAAACATATAGAAGAACATAATTTGTTGGGGGAAGTCAAGATGGTTTCTGTAAAGGGAAATCATGTCTTACTAACCTGCTAGAGTTCTTTGAGGGGGTCAACAAATATATGGGCAAGGGGGAGCCAGTGGATATAGTGTACTTAGTTTTCCATAAAGCCTTTGATAAGGTCCCTCACCAAAGTCTCTTAAGTAAAGTAAGTTGTCATGGAATAAGAGGGAAAGTCCTTTCATGGATTGATAACTGGTTATAAGACAGGAAACAAAGGGTAAGAATAAATGGTAAGTTTTTAGGATGGAGAAAGATAACTAGTGAGGTTCCCCAAGGATCTGTCCTGGGACCCATCCTATTCAACTTATTTATAAATGATCTAGAGAAAGGGGGAAACAGCAAGGTGGCAACATTTACAGATTATACCAAACTGCTCAAGACTGGTAAGACCAAAGCAGACTGTGAAGAGCTTCAAAAAGATCTCACCAAACTAAGTGATTGAGCAACAAAATGGCAAATGAAATTTAATGTTGATAAATGTAAAGTAATGCACATTGGAAGTAAATGTAAAGTAATGCATATGTGCAACATGATGGAGACTAGGTTAGCTACAACTACTCAAGAGAGATCTTGGAGTCATTGTGGCGAGTTCTCTGAAAACATCCACTCAGTGTGCAGCGGCAGTAAAAAAAACAAATAGAAAGATAGGAATTATTTAAAAAGGGATAGAGAATAAGACAGAAAATATCTTATTGACTCTATATGAAACCATGGTACGCCCACATCTTGAATTCTGCGTACAGATGTAATTGTCTCATCTCAAAAAAGATATATTGGTATTGGAAAAAGTTCAGAAAAGGGCAACAAAAATGATTAGATTTTGGAATGGGTCCCATACAAAGAGAGATTAAAAAGACTTGGACTTTTCAGCTTAGAAAAGAGGAGACTAAGGGGGGATATGATGGAGGTCTATACAATCATGACTGGTGTGGAAAAAGCGAATAAGGAAAAGTTATTTACTTATTCCCACAATATAAGAACTAAAGGTCAGCAAAAGAAATTAATAGGCAGCAGGTTTAAAACAAACAAAAGGAAGTTTTTCTTTACTCATTGCATGGTCAACCTGTGGAACTCCTTGCCAGAGGATGTGGTGAAGGCTAGGACTTTAACAAGGTTCAAAAAAGAGCAAGATAGATTCATAGAGGTTAGGTCCATCAATGGCTATTAGCCAGTATGAGTAGGAATGGTGCCATTAGCCTCTGTTTCTCTGAAGGTGTGTGGCAGGGGAGGGATCACATGAAGATTACCTGTTGTGTTCCCTCCCTCTGGGGCATCTGGTATTGGCCGCTGTTGGCAGACAGGATACTGTGCTGGATGGACCGTTGGTCTAACGTGGTATGGCTGTTCTTATACTCCAATTCAGATACTAGCTGGAAGGACTGACTTATGAGGAAATATTTAACATTATGTAGCTAAATGACAGTGGGAAAGGGAACATAACCACCAGAACCATAGAAAAGCACTGTGATAATGATTATGACCCTGGAGTAGGATGGTGGTAGCCAACTGTATAAAAAGAGAGATTAGAAAACCAGAGGCCATTTGGTTTTGAAATGGTAACTGTAAAACAAAATTACAGAGGTCTATAAAATACACAGAGAATGCTGTGTGATCTAATCTCCTTTGACCTATCCCATGAGAACAAGGGAACATTTGAGGACATTACACGACAATAGGGTGAAATAAATAAAACCTCAAATATTTCATTGCACAATTTGTATCTTTCATTGCTGTAAAATAATGGAGTACTATCCAAAGGAGAACTAGACTTTGATATGAATCAGAATAGACCTTGCAGTTATAAAAGGTGAGAGAAATTACAAAGATTATTGATCCTCATGCTTAAGCGCATTAACTGATCACTGTTTGAGCTCAAAAATAATTTTTCTCCCAGGCAACAGTGTTATACATTGAGCTGTTCCCCCAGGATAGTATCATTCCACTTTCTGAGCAAGCTTCATCTCATCTTCTGTTAAGGACCTTTTGCGCAGGCATGGCCTGGACACCCCTCTGTCATGGTGATGTGTGTGGGATTCACTGTGCATTCCAAGCCAAAGGCTCTGAGCTGCTAATAGCAGGCACGGGGCTTTTTCCTAACAAAGAAAGCTCTCTTTCCAAGGAGATTCCTCACTGGAAATGCTCACCCTGGCCAGGATGCATTAGCTAGTTAATAGCATTTCCCCAGACAGGACACGCTAAAACTTACCATATGCAGAATTCTAGCCACAGCCTGGAATGGTCTTCACTGCATGCTGTCAAACACAGTGTTGCCATATTTCTGGTTTCTGAAGTGAGCTTCACATCAGTCCTCTTCATTGTAGGCTCATTATGGGATTCATGGTTGTCACTGCGTTCCTGTCTATGTGGATCAGCAATACCGCCACCACAGCCATGATGGTACCCATATCCCAGGCTGTCCTAGAGCAGCTGCACAAGTCAGAGCAGGAGAAAAACTCAACTGAGCACGTGGCTGAGAACATCAACAAAGCCTTCGAGCTGCAGGAGGTTCCAGATAAATCAGCTCTCTCTCAAGAGACACAAAAACAAGGTGAGTAGCTGTGGGTGTTTTACGTCTTTAGGATAGTGGAGGATGGTCAGGTACCTTCTCCGTCTCCACCTTAGGTGCTTCTGGCCTCATTCATCCCTGTTTCTGAATTTGAACTTCATAAGGAAGGAAGATGTCTCTGGCCTCCAGAGTATCTCAGAGAAGATTTCTGATAGGAGAGGACTCTAATCCAGAAGAGCAAGGTATAATAAACCCCAGTGGATGGAAGCTGGTCAGAAAAATTGAAATTGGAAATAAATTGCACATTTTAAGTGAGGAAGTTTCATTGGGGTAGCCGTGTTAGTCTGTATCGGGAAAAACTTAAAAAACAATGAATAATCTTGCAGCACCTTAGAGACTACCAAAAATGTAGATGGCATTGAGAGCTTTTGTGGGCACATCTGAAGAAGTGGGCTGTGCCCACAAAAGCTCATGATACCAGCTACGTTTTTTGTTAGTCTCTATGGTGCTACAAAACTATTTCTTGTTTTTCAAGCTTTTTTAAGTGAGGGTCATTAATCAATGAAGCAACTTTCACAGAGAGGTATCAAATTCTGTGTCCCTGGGAGTCCCAAAATAAAGTGGGTTGTATGTCTAAAACCATACTAAACTTAAAAAACAAGAAATAGTCTGGTAGCACTTTAAAGACTAACAAAACATGTAGATGGGGTCATGAGCTTTCGTGGGCACAGCCCACATCTTCAGATGACCAGAATTTTGAGTTTAGGATGTCCAGATCCAAAATAAATAGGGGAGAAGGGAGAGGGGGAAGGCATTGCTATATATATAATGCCCCACTGCTATATAAATTGGACAAACTAAACAGTCCCTAAGGGAAAGAATCAATGGATACAAATCAGATATACGTAAAGGGAACATACAGAAACTCCGGTGATCTGAAGAAGTGGGCTGTACCCACGAAAGCGCATGATAACATCTACATGTTTTGTTAATCTATAAAGTGCTACCAGACTATTTCTTGTTTTTAAAGTTTATCCTGTACAGTCTAACTCGGCTCCCCCTGAAGCTTCTAAAACCATCCTGCACCTCAACTACAACTTATTGGGCTTGGTACGTGGATGCAGATTGTAGGTCTCTGGCCTGTTCCACGAAGGAAGATCTATGACTGGCTTTAAAATGTATGAACTTGTGAGCAGGAAGCTTCCTTTTGCTTCTTTTCTGACCCTCGATCCTACTCAAGTGTCCTTGAATCTGAATCAGTGGGATGAGCTGCCTGTTGCCAGTTCTCTATGTCCCTGAATGTGTTTTTCTTCTCCCATTCTCCTTCCAAGTTCAGACATTGCCAATTTCAGTTACCAATGTCTGCATGGTGTATAGCCATGTGGTGTGTTCTCTCTCTCTCTCACACACACACACTTTGTGTGTTATTCCAATTTTCTTGCAATCATGGGATTTTGTATGAATGTAAACATTAAATGGGACTGAGGCTAAGGGAACTCCTAAAGTTTGCCCTGAAACAACCATGTCTAGATGCCTTTCCTCACTTTGGGATATCCTGTTGTGTCCTAAACTGGAAATACTGTATTGTGCAGCAACATCAACCTTCCCCATTCCTGCCCAGCTCAGCTTGTGCCACTCTTCTCTTTCTGCCTCTGCCCCCAGATAATGGATACGTGCTGACAGTGGAGGAAGAGGAGAAACTTAAAACTGAGAAGCAGCTGCAAGAGGAGAAGCACCTGACATTTTGCAAGGGAATGAGCCTCTCTGTTTGTTATGCAGCCAGTATTGGAGGAATTGCAACTCTTACTGGTACTACTCCCAACCTGGTGATGAAGGGACAGATGGATGAGTGAGTATGGAGAGAGTTGGGACTGCAACCACAGAATTGCTGTCTGTTAATAGTAACGTTGGTCTGGGGTTGAGCTGCATCCAAAGCTGAGAATGAGAAAGTAAATCACCATTCTGAGTAAGGGAACCAGGAAAAACTCCTCTTTGATCTGACCTCCCAGCATCTGGCTTCTCTGGGCCACAGATTTGGGTGTAGAAATGAAGGCAGCTGTAGTAGTGACATCTGTTTGTTCTTCCAGCCTCTTTCCTAAAAACAACAATGTGGTGAACTTTGCTTCTTGGTTCGTGTTTGCTTTCCCCACCATGCTCCTGTTGCTGATTGTCTCCTGGGTTTGGCTCCAGATAATGTTCTTGGGATTTGAGTAAGTATTGTAAGCACATTGAAACAAATGTTCATGGATGTTTCTGCCATTGATCCTGTTGCAATTTCATAGTAACTGCACCAGCATTTCCTGCTCTATGTTCTGCTTGGATCTCAGGTCTCCGGCTGTCACCTGCTTATGGGTAGGAATCCTTGTCAATTCTCTTCTGACCAGGGATTTTGAGGCTGCTTGGCTCCCAAATCTAGACTGTGGTAGCCCTAGCAAGACAGACAGACCAAGGTCAGCACCTGGGCTTTGCTCTCTCTCTCCAGGTTTGACCAGTTACAAGTTATCACTCTGCTCTTTTTAAGCAAGCAGATCTATTTTGTAAAGCATTACAAAGCATAGAAAAGGCACTACTGTACTTGCATGCTGAAAAGCTTACCTCCCCCATCTTCAATACAGGCAGTCCCCGGGTTACGTACAAGATAGGGACTGTAGGTTTGTTCTTAAGTTGAATCTGTATGTAAGTCGTTGACCAGTTACAAGTTATCACTCTGCTCTTTTTAAGCAAGCAGATCTATTTTGTAAAGCATTACAAAGCATAGAAAAGGCACTACTGTACTTGCATGCTGAAAAGCTTACCTCCCCCATCTTCAATACAGGCAGTCCCCGGGTTACGTACAAGATAGGGACTGTAGGTTTGTTCTTAAGTTGAATCTGTATGTAAGTCGGAACTGGCGTCCAGATTCAG